TAGTGCTTTGGATGCTATTTGTTTTCATGTCCAAGCACTTGGAGTTCAGCTTGTCAGCAGCAGAAAGCATTTGCCCTTTTCCTTACTGAGATTACCAACTTCTTACTGAAAATGTGCAGTTTGAAGGAAAGTGCAGGATTAAGTGGTATTAGAGGATTTTTAAGGTCAACTATCTCACAGTTTACATGGCAAAGGAATTAACATAGGGCACCACCAGGCATCACATCTTGTCACTGCTCTTTTGGTCCCACACCACGCCTTGCTCCAAAGATGAAGTCTTACCTGCATCAGGGAAAATCACAAAACTCTCCAGCTTCAATGCAAAGCCTTTTCCACATTATTAACCATTCACATTTTCTTCTCTGTTCCAAGCTGCAGAACTGCTGTTGTGTTTTGCTGGATGCAACATGGAGAGCTGGGGGCGTTGAGGATTTCCAAATGCTCCTCAAGTTCATTTTCCTTTTATTCTTTTTCTGCTTTGCTCACCAGCTTTTTTGTTTTTATCTTGCAGTGTTCTAGGCTCCCTGTGTGCCACATTTGTCCTGCATCCATGTATTTTATTTTACTAGCAGAAGAGACACTAAATGCCTTGGCAGTAGGAATGATGCAGAAGTGATAAATACTTTAGCTAAGCTAAGTGGTCTCCAGCAGAACAGTCACAATGTTGTCTATAGCATTTTGCATCCCAAACACTTTTTTCTCTTTATTCTTTTTCCCAAAAATGTCTGTTTCACACTGATTGATAAAAATGAGATATCTTTCTCCCTTTTCAGTACCTAAATTAACACTTGCTTATGCTAACTTTCACAATATTGAACTGTTTCTCAGAACAAGGCCATTTTTACATGAAACTGTAAAATGTTTTCATTGCATGGTTACTTTTGTGGAAGAAAACCCCTGCAAATTCCACTTCCATGTGCAAATTTCAGAAGAAAGCAAAAAACCTTTCAATTTTGAACTGGAAATATAAAATGTAAGTGAAGCCTAATAAGGTCACATAGGGGATCTAGACCTTTAAACCACATCGTGCATGGAGGCACTGAAGAGGTAAAGAGATGTCCCACCTTCTCATCCCAGTGCTAGTCTCAGCTTTTATGGCACAGATGCTCAAGCACTCGTGTTGGAACAGCAGCCAAGTATTGTTCATGGCTGGAGTTGGTTAAAAATAGTTAAAGCAGCAGTGGACAACTCCTCTGTTGGGACTCGGTGGAATATTACAGAGAGCAGATGTGTAAGCAAGTGAGTGAGTAGCAGGGCAGAAAAGGGAAATAGAAGAGAAATTTGGAATGCATGGAAAACCCTCAACTCTTCTGGTCACCTCCCTGGATCTTCAGCCAGCAACTCCTCCAGCTGAGGCACCAGTCCCACAGGACAGACTCTTTGAGCCAACCCAATGAGAAACAGGCTCATAAAAATTCCTGTGGGCTTGTTAGAAATTGCAAGTGTTATGAATTATAGTTGGGGGAAAGGAAATCCTAAGCATATCCACATGAAAGAGAACTAAGACTCGTCCTGTAAAACCTGCAACTATGAGGAGTTTCCTTAATTTATTTTTTTTTCTTAACCTATGAAATGCATTTCTGCTCAAGTACTGTGCACAAAGCTGGACAGTCCAGACCCATCCCAGTCTGACACCTGGATATTGCACTGCAGCACACCATGGCTTCTCAGGGTGCTGGCTGTGCTCAGGCTGGATGTAAGGATTCAGGGACTCAGCCAATGGGAAAACCTTGCTTCTCCAAACCACATGGGATCCAGGCTTGGACTCCCCTTTGATCTCACAGCTCAGGGAGAGCAAAAGAAGCAGTTACTCCCAAGAGTAACTGCCAAAGGAACAGCCCACTTCAGAGTCCACCGTGGTCCTTGTTTCAGATCTGTATCTACGCACTGAAGCAGGAAAGTGAATCACCATCTTCCTGGGACAAGCATGGGGCAGGCAGCCAGGGGCTGTTTGCTGTACCTGAGGCTAAGAAAAACTATTTAACCTTAACTGAGGGCCCACTGTAACACCTGTCTAAGTCCATGTGATGTTCCCTCTGCTCTCCTTGAGTCCAGCTGGCAAAAAATAGTATGGGAAAACATGAGTCATGTAAGTGTATGCATGTCTATGCATATATTACATATATTTATTAAAATATACATATATATATATCCACTGTATATACATGTACAGTGGATCTTAACAGGCTGCAAGTATTTGGCCTTTTCTACAGGACTTCAGTTGCCAGTTTGTGCTCTTTCCAACTAGGTAATGCATGGAGTAAAACAAAGCCTGTGTTTTTACTGCTGCCACATTGGCCTGTGGGCTTTGAGTATCAGTTTGTCAGGCTTTTTCAGAGAGATCATAAAATCATAGAATCATAGAAATGTAATAGAAAAGGAAATAATCACAGAAAGAGCTAATTGTGTCTGTTCAGTGGAGCTGGAGTCCAGTGCTGAGCACATTTGCACAAGTGATCCTCATGGACATGTGCCTCAGAGATCAGAGTCTGAGGACTCTGTGATGTCAAGAAGAGGTGGCTTTGTCACCTTCACTGTGTGTCACTACCTCCTCAATGCAGCCTAGTGCTACTAGTTGCAAGGAGTGGCATGTTGCATTTGCTGTTCCTTGTTGCAGAACCAGGGTAATTTACCCTGTGACGCTCTTGCTCTAGTCCAGTCTGCGTTAAGCAATTGCAGAGTCCTGCTTATAGCTCCTGTTCCAAGCAAGTAAAAAGTCCTAAACCACCTACTGAGTTCAGAAGGGGATTTCATGCTCATTAGCTGGAGTGCTGGGCACAGCAGGCTGCAGACAAAAATGGTTTCATCTGTAATTTTTTTTAACATCACTCCTCAATGCAGAGATTTAAGTGTGATTTGCAGCATCTTGAGTGACTCAAAGCTGCATTTATTCCAGAGGATCAAAGCCACAGAGTTTGATTCGGAGCTGACTTTGCATTTTTCTCAAAGCCAAGAGGTGTGGAAAAATATTTCCAACCAAGACTCTGATTTCACCCCAGCAGATAATTTAGCTTAAACCTGAAACCCAGACTTTCCTGAAGTACAAGATTCGTGGCCCACTTAGGGCTTTTCCACATTAACTACTTTTGCAGTTTAAAAAAAATCATGTGTCCATCATTTATTTAACCTCCAAAAATGGGTCATAAAGCCCAGAGAATTGTAACAGACATAAAAGAAAATTAAAGGCAGAACTCCAGGGAATAGGTTGGGAAGGGCTTTGTGGGGCCATGTAGCCCTCCCAAGACAGCATCAATCCTACCTGTACCTTTCCTAGCAGGTGTATCCCACCTTTTATGAGCCATCCTCCTTAAGAAGGATTCTGTTTCCTACAGCTACACTGCAGCAAGTGAGAGCTGAGCTTGACAACATGCTGTTGTGCAGCTGCAGTGGGCAAGGATTGGCTGCTTCCCAGCTCAGAACCAGGGTCAGACAGGCCCTGTGTGACCAGGGCAGCCTGTCCTCTGTGAGGGTCTCACAGCCAGCTGGGACCTACTCAGGGCAGGCTCAGTGATCTCTACTGCTGCAGAAGCCCTTCCAGACGTGCCTGACATTTCCAATAGGACTGACAGGAGCTCACATGGAGCTGAGCTAACAGAAGATGCTCAGAAGGTGGAGTCCTTCCCCTTGGAGTCGCCAAAAGCACTAGTTGATATTGCTGCATCCTCAGCAGCCCTAAGGCTCCAGCCATCATTCAGGTCCTCACAGTCATGAAGGGAAAATGCAGAACAGAAAAAAAACCACCCAGCTAATATTGTTCTCCTGCCCAGCCCACCCCTCAGCCATGCCCTCGGCAGCTTCTTTCAGGGGTGAGTCAAGACAAGAGGTGGGAAACAAAGCAGAAGATGCTCCAACTCCTGGCCAGAAGGGAAGAGCCCCACCACAGAGATCCAGTTGTGGACCACCAGTGCTTTTCTCGTGCTCAAGAATGGACACCCTGAGAATCAGAGCACAGGGTTTTTCTTTCATGTGCCAGTAACACATTTATTGTCTAATTTAGCTGATTTTCCTTATTTAGCAAAAAACCCGAAATATGCTGTGAAAAAGGGACTGACACAGCATTGCCAGTGGTGGTGACACCTTCTTCTGCAGAGACCAAAGGACATACAAGGACAAATAGCTGGCAGACCTCTGGGACACACAGTTTGCAGGGCTCTTGCACCATCATAACTCAGTTACTTGACTGGGAATCCCACAAGCCAGAAAGACATTTCTATCTCCATAACCCAATTTGTCTTGATTTTGCTAGTCAATAAGAATTATCAGACTCTATAGTTAAAAAGATTTAAAGGCTTACATTAGATCTTCCTTTTTAATGATATCCACAATAATTTGCAGGAGTGAAAAAAGAAAAGGTTCCCATCCCCTTGTATCTCTGCCTTTGTGAGGGACAGCAAGTTCTTAAGGAGCTGCGTGAGGCAGAGTCATTGCTGTCAGCTCTCTGCTCCCAGCTGCTGCATTTTCAGAGCTCCTGGGAACTAGTGTCACAGCAGTTACTGAACTGGGCAAATTTATAAGCAACATCATACAAGGTAATTTAGGAAGATTGTACACAACTTAGAAATTAAAACTGTGAACTGAAGAATATATGAGCCAAGAATGAAAAAAGCCACAGAGTAATGGAACCTGTGGAATCAGATTTGAAAGGATATGTTTTAAGCTGCTTTTACGAATCCAAGCCAGTGTTTCAGGTATGAGCCTATCAGCAGATGATTTTTTTTCCTGTTCTCCTGATGGCTGTTCTTGGTAACAAGCAGCCCCCTGCTTCAGGAAAGCCCTCCCTTCCAGGGAAGCTCTTAATCATATGCATAATTTGGGGCATGCATAGAATCCCACGGAAGCTGAGTGCATGCTTACAGCTGAGGATGTGCTTAAAAGCCTCCCCTATAAACGAGGGCCTTGATGTACAATTTAGAGGAGAGAATATATGCTGCTCAGTAGTCAAAGCAATCCAATTTACATAAATATTTATTTGTTTTCCATTATATATCATTTTTATGCAGGTGCTTGTGGGATGGATAGACGTCAGAACACATACATAATGGAAAAAGGCTTCAAAGGTATGGTATCCAGTGCCTGCAGCCCCCTGGCAAAGAGTTTGAGGAGGGTGTCCTAGAAGAGGTGAGATAGGAGACCTGAGCCCCTGGGAGAGTGGCCATGCAGAGACAGAGAGGGACAGAGCAATTACCTACAGAAGATGCCTGCATGGCTCAGCTGGCAGCACTCTTGACTCCAAGCCAGATGTCTGGGGCCCATGAATTATGGATGCAAGGCTTCCCAAGGCCATAGGCTTCTGCCTTGGCAAAGCAGTGTAAGACAAAAAGGGAGGGCTTTGCTGCAGGGACAGGAGGTGCAGGTGGAGCTGTCTGGCCAGGGGAAGCTCTTTTAGGACCGTCCTACAAGGGCTTTGTGGTGGCAGTTGATGATGATAGCATTTTGTCTGCTAAGTCACAGCTCCATGAGACTCTGAGCCATCCTGAGCTTAAGCAAAAGCACTAGAAAACAAGCTGCCCCTGCTACGTGGCCTTTGCTGGGAGAGATTTATAGCAGAGCTTGAGAAAAGACCTCCCTCAGTACATCAACCAGCCATGCTGGCATGAAGCAATTAATGGGCATTGACTCCAGGGCAGGTCTAAAAAGAGATCATCGATGAGTCATGAGCACAAGGCCCACTGATTTCAGATTTCAGTTGTCCTCCAGGGTTACACTGAAAATATTCCAGTTATGTATGGACTGCAAGACCACTTGGCACAATGGCCACAAGCTCCTGATGGACTGGGCTGGGGTTTGGCACACTGCACTTGTGGTCCAGGAGATGGAGCAAGGCATCCATCTCCTTTGGAATAGGTAGGTTTCAGGCTGAGGTTCTTAATCTGAATTCAAGGCTGTAGTGTCGGTACACACAGGCTGGGAATGTCCCTCCATCAGCTGAGGGGGTAAATGCTGCACAGCCTCTTTCCATAATGTCCTTGAGCTGGCATGGGCTGAGTAATGGGGAGAATGGCCCCTTCCCACAGAGCTGGTTTCAAGGCACCCACAGGTCTGCTAAGGCTGAGGTGTGACAGAGCAAGAGTTCTCTGACCTAACATGGAATATTGAAAGTTTGTCCACATGAAAACAGTGATCAGATTATAGCCAGGCCTAGGGAACACTAATCACTTCATAACTGCTATTTACAAAATACATTGGTATCCTATTTGCTAAAACATCACCTTCCCACACAGAATCACCAAAGGAACCCAACAATCCATGACCAGGTCTTTCTCGATAAAGCTAAATTTAAAATATTGACTCAATCCACTGGTTTCAGCTACTTAAATGATTCAATTTTTCCAAAAAAATAATCTTATACAGTTAGTTGTTCTTTTTTCTCAGAACTATTAATTTAAAGATTAAATCAAATTATTGTGTTTACA